AGGGCCCAAGCTCTTTGTTCCAGCACATCCAGCAAGCACCAGGCAGGACAGCACGGCAACCAACTCACAGCTGAGGGACTCAGAACATCTAAACACCAGCAGGGCACATTGCTCATTTTTGCTCCAATAGACAGCACTGAAAAGGATAGGTAATGACAGCCTCTTCATCACCCCAATCCCTTCTCCCTTTTAAACTTTCTCTGAAATAACCAAAACCAGCTCTTAAAATTCCTTTATCTTTGTCAATCCCTGATCTTTTGGGAGCAGACTCAGGAAGAGAGCGCAACATTAATCTGTTGTTATTCAGACATGGCTTGTTGTTCGTCTTTCCCTACTCAATGGCAGCAGTAGATCTAGAGAATAACCAGGTATCCTGAGGAATTTTTCCTGCAGCAAGTTATTTTCCTATCATGGTCCATCTGTAATTTTATTGCTTATTAAAAGACCACTATAAATACAGTACAGCACCTTGCAATTACTCCCCCTTCTATTTGTAAACCTCAAAGTCTTCCAGGTCTGAATAACAGGAAAAACCCTGCGTCACGCTTTGGGGATATGAACATCTTTAGGGTTTGGACATATGCCAGGATAGCCACTGTAAGAGCTGGATGGACTGGAAAACCAACTGATGTAACAGTATTTTATGGTGAGAGGCAAATCCTGCTGCTGCTGCCCCAGGAATTTCTTTTCATTTGAGAAGCATCAAGAAAGGCCAAGAGCGTTGAAACACACGGAGCCTGGGGGAGGCATCAGGGTATTTCTTGTAGCAGCTTCTCCCTGTCAAGAACCCCCTGCCAGGCTCAACTTGAGAGAAATTCTCCAATAATATCCAACCATCAGCTTCTTTTGGGTGGGATGAGGAACAGCCGTCAGCCCACTCCAGCACTGGAAATGTTTCAATGCACCGGAGCAGCAGTGCCTGCAGGGGAGAGACTCTTTGGCTCTGGGCTCTCTGGGCACTTTGTGCTGCAAGGCCATTCCCCTCTGGAGCCCAGCCCAGCAGCCACACACTGCCCACAGGGGCTGGGGGCACAGGCACAGCCTGGGGCTGCTCCCCTCTGGCCAGCCCTGCTGCAATGGGCATGGGCAGGGCCAAGAGCCAGCCAGGTGCTGCTTCTGGAGGTGCTGGGAGCAGCCAGGGAGGCAGCACCAAACGGACCCATCTGAAGGTCTCCTCTGGTCCCGCAATCCCCACCCTCAACCCATGTTCCCGTCCAAATCCCCTTTTCCCACTGAAATCTCCTTTTTCCACCCCAAATCCTTCTTTGTACATCCCAAATCCTTCTTCTTTCACCCCAAACCCTCTTTTCCCACTCCAGATGCCTTTTCCCACCCCAAATCCTCCTTCTTTCACACCAAAAATCTCCTTTTTCCATCCTAGATCCCTCTTTTTCCACCCCAAATTTCCTCACTCCAAATCCTTCTTCTTTCACCCCAAATCCCCTTCTGCCACCCCAGATCCCCACTGCAAATCCCCTTTCCCAGCCCCCAGGGATTTTGGGGTTCCTGAGGGGTTTTTGGGGTTTTCCCCAACATTTTACCCAGGGTCTATCTGCAGATATTGCAGCTGGAGCTGCTCCAAACAAACCCCACTGTGCCCCCCAGGGTTGCAATGGGTTTGGGGGGATATGGAGACTGGGGGGGGTCATGACCCCAAATTTTGGGGGTTGGGGGGTTTGATCCTAAAATTTGGGAGTTAAAGGGGGTTTGACACCTTGGGGTTTAGGATTTGGAGGTTTTTGACCCCAGACTTGGGGTTTGGGGATATTTGGCCCCAGAATTTGGGATGTGGGGGTTTTTGACCCTAGGATTTGTCAGTCAGGGGGTTTGACCTCCAAATTTTGGGATAAGGGCAGTTGGACACCCCAGATGTTTCAAACCCCAGGATATGGGGTCAGGGTGTTTTCATGCCAAAGTCTGGTAATTGGGGGTTTTCACCCCAGTTTTTGGGGGATTTAACCCCAAAGTTGTGGGATCAGGGGGATTTGACACCCCAGAGTTTGGGATCGAGGGCCTTTGACCCCAAAGTTTTGGGATTGGGGGGTTTGACTCCAGACTTTGGGGGTGAGGAGGGTTGGACACCCCAGATATTTCAAACCCCAGGAGTTGGGGATTGGGGGTTTTAACCCTAAACTTTGGGGGTTGGGGGCGTCTGACACTTCAGGATTTGGGATTTAGGGGATGTTTGACCCCAGACTTTGGGAATGGGGGGGTGTTGGACAGCCCAAATGTTTCAAACCCCAGGAGCTGGCTTTGGGGGGATTTAACCCCAACGTTTGGGAATTCGGGAGTGTTTGACACCCCAGGATCTGAGATTTGGGGAATTTGATCCTAAAATTTGGGGTTCGGGCTGGGGGACGAGTGTTGAGATCCCAGAGTCTGGGTTTGGAGGTGTTTGATTCCCCCAGTGTTTCAACCCCCAGTTTTTGGGGTCGCAGGGAGTTGACCCCAGGATCTGGGGTGCTTGATCCCAATGTTTGATTCCCTGGGTTTGGCGTCAGGGTTGAGATCAGAGCCATTCCCTGGAAACAGTGGCGGGATCGGGATTGGTAACGGGATCGGGAAGGAGATTGGGATTGGGATCGGGATTGGGAAGGAGATTGGGATCAGCATCAGGATCGGGATTGGGAACGGGATCGGGAATGAGATTGGGATTAGGATTGGGATCAGCATCGGGATTGGGATTGGTAACAAGATCGGGAATGAGATTGGGATTAGGATTGGGATCAGCATCGGGATCGGGAATGAGATTGGGATTAGGATTGGGATCAGCATCGGGATTGGGATTGGGAACGGGATCGGGGGAAGACCCCTGACCCAATCCCGGACCCCAATCCCAGGTAGAGGCCCCGCCCCAGTCCCGGAATGGACCCATCCCCACAATCCCGGACTTCTCTCCAGTGCCAGCCCCTCCCCAGCTGCTGAACGGACCCTCCCTCAATCCCAGCCCACCCCGATCCGGACCGGAGCCATCCCCAGAGCCTCCCCCATTCCCGGCCCAGACCCTTCAACCCCTTTTTGGGGCGGCTCTTACTGCTCCCCGCCCATTTCTGGGGGTTCCAAGGCGCCCCGCGGACCCTCCCCATTTTGGGGGTGTTGGGGCGGCCCCAGGGCCGCCACAAAGGCCGAGGGGGGATCGAAAGCCCCAAACCTGAGGGGCTCCTGGGGGTGCCCAGTTCGTCCCATCCCCACCCCAAAACAGATCCTGGCCAATCAGTGTGGGGGCCCCAAATTAAACCCAAGGGGGTTGAGACCCCCAAAGGGAGCAGGAGAGGCCTGGAACCCCCCAAACCAAGCACGGCGGAGGGGATAGGGGGCTGGGGGAATGATGGGGAAGGGGCAGGAGAGCGGAGGGAAGAGGGAGATGGGACCCCCAAACAGGATATGGCCAACTTGATGTGGCTGCCTTCAGACGTGCATGGCAGCCAAAGGCAGCCAAAGCTTTTTCCCAGTGCGTGTGACGCCAGTCTGTGCAATCCCAGTCCATAAAATCTCAACCCAGTTTATCCCAGTCCTGATCTGCATGGTCCCATTCCATATGGTCTCAGCCCATATTTGATCCCAGACCACTTGATCAGTTTGTGTGGTCCCAGTCCACTGGATCTCAGTCCATACAGTCCCAGTCCATACTTGATCCCACTCCAGGCTAACCCAGTCTGGAGGTTTCTGATCCACAAGATCCCAGTGCACGTGATCCTCGGCCATGTGATCCCAGTCCATTTGATCTCAGTCTGTGGGGTCCTGATCCATATGGTCCCACTCTGTGCAGTCCAAACCCATAGGATCCCAGTCCATATTTGATCCCAGTCCATATTTGATTCCAGCCCATACTTGATCCCAGTCTGTGATCCTGCACACACTCCCAGGGTCTGGAATTCCAGTTCCAAGCCAGGAAAAAATGTTCCTGCCCTTGAACTTCCCTCCTATCCTCTCAACAAATTATAATAAATTAAAATTAAAATGAAATACACTAGAATAAAAATGAAATACAAAAATGAAATATAATTTCAACTCTTCCTTACAATACTCCAATGATTCAAGCCAAAACAACAGTAAACTATTAATATAACATTACCAAAGAAAAAAAACAAATTACATACAAAGAAATACCTTTTGTAAGTTTTAACTCAGTAACCAATATACTTCAGATAAAAAATATTTAAAAAGCTAACATAGAATCTAACACACCTTAGTAAAAAAAATTCCTATTACAAATATACTAAACACAAAACCAAACACCACTGTAATTTCTCAAAAATTTTAACCAACAATTAAACTTTAATAATTCCCTTAAGTACTCTAAAACAAATAAAATTACTTTTAAAAAATTTAATTGTGGGTGAGTGGCTTTATCTGGGTATTGTTTTTTGGATTGTTTGGGTTAGACTTTAAAAAAAGGATTTTAATAGTAATTAAATCATCTGAGAAGGCGGCACTCTGCAAACAGAACTTACAGAAAATAGGACAGAATCAGTAACTCTGAAAGTTTTATTGCAGTCAAATACATCCCACACACCCAGCCCCACACAATCCCCCTCCCACTGCTCCAAACTGGGGCCAAACCAAAAGGAGAAGCAGCTAGGTGTGTTCCCAACATGGATCACAGGGAATGTGAGTGACCAGGGCTGTGCCCAAAGTGCCTCCTCCAGTGGGGGATGGAGCTGGAGCAGCGCACGAACCTCTTCCTGCACTCGGGGCACTCACAGGGCTTCCCTTACCGGTGCCTCCGTTTGTGTTGGGTCAAGGTAGAGCTGCTGGAGAAGCTCTTCCCACACTGGGGACACTCGTAGGGCCTCTCCCCAGTGTGGATGCGCCGGTGGGTGACGAGGTCTGAGTTGTGCTTGAATCCCTTCCCGCAGTCAGGGCAGCGGAAGGGCCTCTCATCCGTGTGAATCCGATAGTGCTTGAGGAGATCAGAGCTGGTCAGAAACTTCTTCCTGCATTTATCACACTCGTAGAGCCTCTCTCCTGTGTGGATGCGCCGGTGGGTGAAGAGGGTGGAGTTGTCCTTGAATCCCTTCCCACAATCGGGGCATTGGAAGGGCCTCTCCTCTCTGTGACTCTGATAGTGCTGGAGGAGACGGGAGCTGGTTGGAAACCCCTTCCCACAGTTGGAACACTCATAGGGCCTCTCCCCAGTGTGGGTCCTCTGCTGGCTGATCAGGCTGGAGCTCCAGCTGAAGCTCCTCCCACACTCCCCACACTCGTAGGGTCTCTCCCCAGTGTGGGTCCTCTGGTGCTTTATCAGGTTGGACCTCTGGCTGATGCTCTTCCCACACTCCCCACACTCATAGGGTCTCTCCCCAGTGTGGGTGCTCTGGTGCTTGATCAGGTTGGAGCTCCACCTGAAGCACTTCCCACACTCCACGCACGTGTGGAGCTTCTCCCTATCATGGAGCTGCTCATGGAGCACCAGCTCCGAGCTCTGGCCCGATCTCCGGCTGCCTTCCCGGCCCAGGCTGGCTCTTTCCCCCTCAGATCCCCGCCAGCTGCGTTTGCAGCCCCTCCTTGTGCGGCATCTCCGGGGCTTTTCCTCCCTGTTGGTATCCTGCACCGTGGAGCTGCTCAAAACGGCCTCTTCCACCAGGTTCTACCGTGGGCATTTGTCCTCCCTGTTCTCCGTGCTCAGCTCCTGCTCTGGGCGAGGAAGGACGAGGACAGGATGGGATTTGCCTCCGTGCCACAGGGAAGGGCAAGGAGATCCCCCAGGGCTGTGCTGCAGCCAGGGCCGTGCTGGGCTGGGAGATGGAGCAGCACAGAAGGGAAAGAGGCACTGACTTCCTCCTCACCTGCATCAGTGTCCTGGGGCATCTTCCTCTTCCTCGCAGCCTTCCTCACAATGGGAAATCCTGGTTTGGGGAAAACAAGGGATGAGCACGTTTGTAGGAGCGTCAGGGGTAGGATTGTCGGGACTGACAGAGACGAGAGATCTCTGCAGCCAGGTCGTGGAAGTTGCGGTTTATTGCAAAGGGCCTGGGTGCAGGGCCCTGCTTGGAGCTGCCAGCCACAGCTCAGAGCAGGCCCCAGAGAAGAGAGGGGCAGAGAGGATGAGAGGGTGAGAGAGTAAGAGGGTAAGAGCCTAAGAGAGTAAGGTTCCTGTTACAATACAATAAATCTTCTTCTGAGTTGAATATTCTATTTCTCACTAACCAATCTAGTACAAGATACAAATCCTATAGCATTTACATACAGCCTTAAAGAATCATTATGTCACCATACTGTGTTACATTTTAAACCCTAAAATGTACTCTTTGGATCCCTTCTGCTGAGCTAGTAGGGTCTGCTCTGACCCTGGGACCTGTCTGCAAGCAGAGGGAATTGTATCATCAAAAGGGGATTACCTTCAGTCAAGCCACACCATTGTTTTCCAGTTGTTCAGTAACTAAGGTATCTCAAATCTTGCTTTCATTTTATCTTCCTTTTAATTTTCTATATTCTCAAAATCATTTGCCAGACAATCATATTTATAAGGCTTTCCTGTTTCTTCTTCCCCAAGACACATTGAGTTTGAAGGTCCCTCTGCCGGAGTCCATCTCTACAAGGCACCAGCCACCTCGGCTCCAGGAAACCCTCCCAAACACCAAGACTCAGCCCTGAAAAAGCCTCCCAAGAATTCCCCACCCCTGGTCCCTCCCCTCGGGTGTTCGGGGGTTCCCCCCGTCCCAGCTGCTGGGGTCACGCTTGCATTGGGGGTCCCCCTTCTCCTCGGTGCCCACCCTGCCCACGCTGCTGGCAGTCCCAGCAATGCCAAAAGCTCCCCCCTCTTTGCTCTCCCCATTCCGGGATGCCGCGGCTGTTTGGGCTCCCGGGCTCCCTTCTCCCCTCATTCTCTGCTCTGGGCTGCAGCGGCTCCAAGGAGTCCCCCCTGCCCCTCTCCAGGCTCTTGAGGCTCCCGCCCATGGCGGCGCTCCCCCCTCTCTGGGCTCCCCACTTTGGGCTCCTGGGGGGACACAGGGCTCTGCTCCTCCAGGCTGCCTCTGCCGGCAGCCGCCACCGGCACCCCCCGATGTCCCCCCAAGGGGCCTTTTCCGCTCAGCCTTGGACTGCTTCATTCTCCAAACATCCCCCCAAAACCCCAACCCAGGGGCCCCCCGGGATATCTGGGCCGAACTCCCCCTGCCCCCGCTCACCTGCGCAATGGGGGGGGCGATGATCCCACAGGTGGGGGCTGCGAATTCAGGCCCGGCTCGGAGTGACCGTGTGCTTCCCTCAGCTCAGCCTTGATCCGCCTTCGCCCCTCCTCTTTCTCCCGCTCCTCCTCTTCCATCCCCCCTCCCGCTCCTCTGTGTTATCTCCACCTCCTTCTCCTCTTCCATCCTGCCCCTTCCAACCCCTTTCCCCGTCCTCCTCCCTTACCCCGCCTCCTCCTCCCCCTCCATCCCTGCCCTTCCCTCCCTCCTCCTCCTCCCCTAGCAGCAGCCACACCCTCGGTGCCCCGTTCCCGCAGCCCTCGCAGCCCGTGGCAGGAGCGGGGATGGAGCCGGGACAGGTCGGGATGGGCAGCGCGGGGCTCTCGGCTGCTCCCAGCCGCTGCGGGCGGGGGGAGCCCGGCCCGGGCCAAAGGAGAGGCAAACTGGGCAAACTGGGGGCTGCACATCCAAACTGGGCCTTGCTGGGGACCCTGCCTGGCCACTGCCAGCCCTTGGGGCGCCTCTCGGCACATCCGCCGGGGGGGGAACGCACACAGGGCAGGGGGATCCCAGCAGTGGCAGCACTGCCAGGGACTGGGCTGCACTGGGATCATACTGGGAGTGACTGGGGCTGTACTGGCTTTGTACTGACACCATACTGGGATCGTACTGGGAGTGACTGGGATGGTGCTGGGTTTGTATGGACATCATACTGGGATCATACTGCCATATCAGGGCAGATTGTGAACACACTGATGGACACTGGGATCATGCTGGGATCATACTGGGAGTGAGTAGGAGCTGGCAGTGAGCAATTGAGACCATGTTAGGGGCAAATGGGATATACTGGGAGTGACTGGGATTATGCTGAGGGTGACTGGGAGCAGCTGTGAGCAACTGGGAACACGCTAGGAGCAACTGGGAGGAACTGGGAGTGACTGGGTGCATGCTGGGGGGATTGGAAACTGCTGGGCTTATACTGGGATGAACTGGGATCATGCTGGAGGTGACTGGGATCATACTGGCAGTTAGTGCCACTACACTGAGGTTGACTGGGAGTGCTTGGGAGCAAATGGGATCATACTGGAAGGAACTAGAAAGATGCTGGAGGGAACTGAGGTACACTGGGACATGCTGGGAGTGACTGGAATGAAAGTGAGGGGGAGAGCAACGTGAACCATGTAGAACAAAACTGGTTTATTCTGGCAGGGACTGGGAGAACACTGGGCACACCTTTGGATCATACTGGGAGGGACTGGACTAATACTGGGAGTATCTGAGGGTGACTGGGAACACACCCTGCACATCATCCCCCATACTGGGCATGACTGGGGGCATGCTGGGAGCAAATGGCATCATACTGGGACTGACTGGGTTGATGTAGGAAGCAACTGGAACCATGCTGGAAGCAGCTGGGACCATACTGGGAGAGACTGGAAGCAACTGGGATTATACTGGAACCACACTGGGAGGGCTGGCATGTGACTGGGGTCAAACTGGAGCTTACTGGGATCATACTGGGGCTGAAAGGGAGCGACTGGGATCACACTTTGGGCTACTGGGAGCAACTGAGAGAAACTGGGATGATGCTGCAAGCAAACTGGAGGAACTGGGAAGGACTGGATGCATGCTGGAAGCAACTGGGATATACTGGGCATGACTGGGGGATCATACTGGGAGAACTGACACCTTACTGGGGCCACTGGCAGTGCCTGGAAATGACTACAGACATGCTGGGGGCAACTGGGATATACTGGGAGTGTCTGGAACCATACTGGGGGGACTGGAACCACAGTGGGAACAACTGGGACCATGCTGGGGAGAACTGGGACCACACTGGGGGCAACTGGGAGTGAGTGAGACCATGCTGGGTGGGACTGGGATCATATGGGGAGTGACTGGGACTATATGAGGGACAACTGGGTACTACTGGCATCACACTGGGAGGAACAGGGAGCAACTGGAACCATGCTGGGGTCAATTGGGATCCCACTGGGATCACAGTGGAAGCAGCTGGGCCCACACTGGGGGAGAATGGGATCATACTGGATCACACTTTCAGCAACTGGGACTGCACTGAGGGTGACTGGGAGTGGCTGTGAGCAACTGGAATTGTGCTGAAAGCAACTGGGAGAAAGTGGGAGTGACTGGGAGCATGCAGAGGGGGGTTGACTGGGATATACTGGGAGAGACAGGGAGTCACTGGGATCACACTGGAGGCTACTGGGATCAGGCTGGCATTTACAGGGAGCAACTGGGATCACACTGGGGCACTGGTATCAGACTGGGAATGACGGGATCATACTGGGAGTGGCTACAATCATACTGGGAGCAGAGTGGGTGTGATTGGACCCTGACTGGGGGTTCCTGGGAGCTACCAGGCCCATGCTGGGAGCCAACTGGGGACATAATCAGAGGAACTGGGAGCAACTGGGATAAAACGGGGGGCAAGTGAACCACGCTGAGGTAACGGGGAGTGCCTGGCAATGTCTACGAGAATGTTCAGGGCAACTGGGATATACTGGGAGTGTCTGAGACCATACAGCTGGTCTGAAATACAAAATTGTGTTTCGTGACAGGTACAAACAGGTGATGTGTGTAGTTGTGAATGTGAAATGTGTGGACCCCAACAATGGGAGAGCTGTGAATTCTAATAATAACTGAGGAGAATAAAGCATGGAAAAAGGCCTTTGAACCTATCTTTTGTTTGCAATTAACCCTGGTTGATTTAGGAGCATTGGAATTAAGGTGTTAAAGATGTTGCTTTTTGCTTGCGTTTAATCCATAAAAAGCTCTGCAATAAGAACCTTTTGAAGTATAATTTTAGACTATTACTTGTATCCTTGAAACTATAGCTTTGGAATATATATAAAGGAAATATGCTTATCTCACGCCTTATTGAAGCAGAGAAAAACAGCTTGAGAAAGGAAGATGAACATCACCTCAAGGGTTTATGGTTTTGACCAAAGGGAAGCTAGACATCACTGTTATGAGATTTATAGTCTTTGCAATTAAAAGGTGGACACACATCTGGGGAGCCGGACCCCATCAGATGGGATTCGTCCTTCTTCTTTCGGAAACTGGACCGTCACCATCTGGGGATACTCCTTTGAGGTACATCCTGAGAAAGTAAAATCACAATAGTGTATAGAATTGTGATGTAATAATTTGGAATAAAAATTGCTGATGAGTAAAAGATTGGAAATAGAAACTGCTGAAAAAAAAAGCTGATGAGTACCCCATAAATACCTGTAACCATCAATTATCGGTGTGCAGTTGGAGGGAAAACTTCCCCCACTGTACCCAGCACTGTATTGCTCATACTTTACCATAATAATTATTAAATTGATTGCTGCTTGAATATTGGCCTAGTCAAGCTTCTCATTCATAACACCAGTCGTCCCCAGTGTTTCCAAGGACAGTTTAATTTCTCAGGGTGGCCGTGGCAGCCAAACCCAGCAGTGGGGTCAGTGCAGTGCCCATGGCTACAGCCCCTTGCGGTGGCCCAGTGCAGCTTGGGCTGATGATCCACCCTCACAGCTGGCCCAGGGCAGCTCTGCAGTGGCTTTGGTGGCCCCTGGGGCTGGCACACACCTTAGCAGTGTGTCTGTTTGCAGTGGGGAAACTCAGGAGTTTCAGATTGCTTCAAAAAACCCCAAAAAGGGAAAACCCCTCTTAGGCTGAGGGCAGCCAGCTCTCCAAGCAGAGCAGGTCCCAGGGGAGTGAGGACAGACAGGATGGGGCTGGGCAATGTGGAGCAAGGTTGTCCACACTGGGTCAGAGCTCCAGGCACAGCTTCTGTGAGCAGGCCAGAGCTGCTGAGGAGACACCCTGGGTCAATATCAGTCACAGAATGCTGCAATCAACTCTGCTCTAAAGAGAAATAAAATAAAATACTTCCTTTAAAACAGGAATGTGTATTTTTTTTCAAGGTGTTTGAAATCTTTCTCCGTAACAGGACTTGGAAAATTTTAATGACCCTCTCAGGGCTTTGGTGTTGTTTACATCAGACCGAGTCCTTGAGAGTGTCTTCAAAAAACTTCTCAAGCACTCAAAGTTAAATTTAGACTCCATAGTTTCTTGAAGTTTTTATGGGTCCCACTGAGGGACATGGCTGGGAAAGTGTCTCCAGGTTCCAGTTAGAGCAGAACATTGGAGGCAGTGATGACAGCTGGGGACAAGCAAGAAAAAGCTGTCTCTGGTGCTGAGCAAAGCTGGATGTGTTTCAGGAATGCAAATGGCCAAGGCCTGAGCTCCAGCCCCTGGCCAGGCAGATGCTGTCCCTCCCTCCTTGCTCAGGGCTCTTGCCGGGATGGGCACTGGCATGTGGGGATGTGCAATGCCAAGGGCAGGAGCATGGGGCGGCCCCTGCCAGGCTGCTGAGCAGGGACAAGGAGGCAATGAGGCCCCAGCCCTGCAAGGCCCAGCAGCCATGGCCAAAGTGCTGCCCAAGGTGGCTCTGGCAGGGCTGTCTTGCAGCTGCTGCCCATCCCTGTGCCCTGTGCAGCTCAGGCTGTCCCACGGTGTCCCTGCCCTGCGCCTCTGTCCCTGCAGGCTGTCGGCATCCCCTGGCTGCCCTACCTGGCTGGGCCCTTCCTTTGCGGACAGCTCTGCCTTCTGCCTGCCTCTGCCTGCCCACACAGAGCCTGGGGCTGATACCAAAAGGGTTCATTCCATTTTTACCCTGCCTGTGAATTTTCAGCACAGGAACAAGGCATGCAGGGGCTGCTTTCCCAGCAAGGATGAGTGGAAGAGAAGAAGAAGACATCTGGTTCAAGGGTGCAGGGATAGAGAAATCAAGGAGTGAATCTGGGAACTTGGGGTGGGTTTTATGGAAATGGGTAAATTGTAATTCACATTTAGTGACTGTGTATAAGCAACACACTGGTAGAATTACATGTCCATGTAGGGTTGGGAGTTATCCCTCACCAGACCTCAGGCCTGAATAAATGACACCCTCTGAAATAGCAAATTAGTGTTATGGAGTCTTGTTCTGATATTTCGGAGATTTGCTGACCGTGGTTCCTCACAGACCCAAGGAGTCAGCTGTGACACTGTGGAACCCCATGGAACAAAGGGTCCATTGTGACACAGCA